CTCCCTCTCTCTCTCTCTCTCTCTCTCTTTCTTTCTTTCTTTCTTTCTTTCTTTCTTTCTTTCTTTCTTTCTTTCTTTCTTTCTTTCTTTCTTTTTGTGGTTTTTCAAGACAGAGTTTCTCTGTGTAGCTTTGTGCCTTTCCTGAAACTCACTCTAGCCAGGCTGGCCTCGAACTCACAGAGATCTGCCTGTCTCTGCCTCCCAAGTGCTGGGATTAAAGGCATCCTTCACCACCGCCCCTGGCAGGGTTTATTTCTTACAGTGTCACCGTGTCCAGATTTTCACATGGGTGCTGGGGATCTGAACTCAGCTCCTCTTGCTTGCACAACAAGTGTTCCTACCCACTGCACTATCTTCCCAGCACCCCCACCTCTTTCTTGAGTCTGGATCTTATGTAGCCTGGGCTAGCCTCAGACTCTCTATATAGCAAGAATGACCTTGAACATCTGATCCTCCTGCCTCAACCTCCCAAGAGCTGGGATTATGGGTCTGTACCATCACAGCCAGTTTACAAGCCATGGGTTTTGCTCAGGGTCACTCGGATGCAAGCGAACCAGCCACACGAGTGCCTAGCCTCCTTTTTCTCTGTCTAGCCTGGGTGTTCAAGCCCACAGCAGTGCCTTTGGATCATAGGACATCTTGGGGTGTGTGTGTGTCCACATTTCTGTGAATGCTACAGTGATCAGGCTATGTAAACCACCAAATATGACTCCTATCACATTTAGTACAACAAGATAAATAGTTAGTGTCCTTGTTAGCCTCAGCTGTCAACTTGACACATCCCAGAGTGGTCATCTGAGGGAGTCACAATTGGGAGACTGCCCAGATATGATTGATAGGTGGCCATGTCTGTGAAGAATTATCTTGGTTTTGATTGATTTGATTGACCCATCTTTTTGTGGGTGGTATCATCTCTGGGCAGGTGGTCTTGGACTGTATGAGCTGGGGAGCTGAACGTGAGCCTGGGAACAAGCTAGTAAGCAGCGTTTCTCTGTGATGGATTGTGACCTGGAAGTGCAAGCTAAACAAAACAAACCAGAACAGAACAACAAAATAAAATCTGTAAATCCAATTGTAGGGGATCTGGTGCCCTCTTCTGGCCTCCAAAAGTACTGCACACATGGTGTACATACACACAAAGCAGGCACACACATGTACATAAATACAAATGTTTTATTATTTTAGTTTTTTTTTTGTGTGTGATAGGGTCTCATTATGCAGCTCTGGCTATTCTAGAACTCACTAACTAGACCAGGCTGACCTCAGACTCACAGAGATCCTCCTGCCTCTGCCTCCCAAGTGCTGAGATTAAAGGTGTGTGCCACCACATCCAGCTTAATATGTTTTATTTTTACTTTTAAAAAATATTGTGGTGGTTTGAATAAGAATGGCCCCATAGGCTCATAGATTTGGATATTTAGTCACCAGGGAGTGGCAGTATTTGAAAGGATTAGGAGGTGTGACCTTGTTGGAGGAAGTGTGTCGCTGGGGGTGGATTTTGGGATTTCAAATGCTCAAGCCAGTCCCAGTGTCCCTTCCTGCTGCCTGCAGATCTGGATGTAGAACTCTCAGCTCCTTCTCCAGCACCATGTCTGCCTGCACGCTGCCATGCTTCCCACCATGATGACAAGGGACTAAACCTCTGAAACTGTAAGAAGCCCCAGTTAAATGCTTTCTTTGTAAGAGTTGCTGTGGTCATGGCGTCTCTTCACAGCAATAGAACACTGACCAAGACACGTATCTAAAACACAGTTTCTTACTGATCTTTAGTTGACCAGTGATATTATCACCATTGTCCAGGGCGGTGGTTTTTGTTGTGGTTGAGACTGAGTCCCTCCAGTCTGTCCCCAAAATTCTGAGCTCAAGCGACCCTCCTGCCTCATCCTCTACAGTAGTTGGATAACAGGGGTGTGCCACTGCACTTGGCCATCAGAGAAGTTTCCGCAAGGACTGGAAGGCTCTGTCTTCCACTCTTCTGGCGTGTAACAAGCGAGCGTCTTCGCGGGGGGGGGGGGGGGGCATTTGTTGTGGAAAGGAAGAAAGCATGAGGCACTCAGAAGGATCTGGAAGGAAGGTGCTCTAGGGGCCTCATCGTTAGCACAGGGCTGTCTGTGGGTTTAATAACCACTAAGGTCAGGGTTTCCTGGGCTCTCATGGCCATTCTGTAAGAGCTGGGGGAGTTCACAGGAGACATGTGTGTACATGTGTGGTGTCTCAGTGGACAAGGGAAAGGGACCTGCAGGCTGTCTGTGTCCCTTCTCAGGTTCAATGAGGCTACCCAGGAAAGAAGGTCACAGCCTGGAGAGCTCCTGGTCAAACAGAAGGCACATTTCTAAGACCAGGCACCCTTCAGGGACTCTGGGGCTATTAACTTTTGGGGCTCTAGGCCTAGAGCTGGGGTTCATGGGAGCCAAGCTCCCGGAAAGGCCTTACAGTGGGTACCACCCAGGCAGGGGCAGCAGGGACTTCCTCCCGCCAGGCCGCCATCCTGCCCACAGAGTAGTGACTAGGCACCAATCAGAAAGAAGCCTGGCCCTGCTCCCTGAGCCAGAGGCAAGCAGGGGCCAGCAGCCCCAGAGCTCCAGGGCTCACTCACCCTGGCAGCCATGGGGTCTGTGCCTCACCCCGGCTTCCTCAGCTGGCCGTGGCTCCCCCAGATTGTTTCATTTTCTCAGTAGCTCCAGGAACAGAACTAGGAGAAGTCGGAAACAAAACAGTTAGACACAAAGAAAAGCAGAAGTGGGCGCTCAGAGACTGACCGTCCCTGACGGCACTGAACCGTGGAGGGTCCAGCCGTGGCCTGGCTGCCGGTGACCCGTGTGTGGGAGAGATGACCCAACTGGCCTCAGCTCTGTGGCGGCCCACACTGCTGCTGCTGCTTTTCTGGCTTCCAGGTGAGGAGGCTGTCTGCCCAGGAGGGTGGGAGGCCTCAGGGAGATGCCACGTAAGGCGCCGGAGCCTGGATTTCTCTGTGCACAACACAGAACGGGGCAGCTGCGTCCTCTGTGTCGGGTGGACGGCCAACGGTCCACAGTGCTCAGGGGAAGGGGCCAGGAGCTCACTCTGCACCCAGCTGTCAGGACAAGGGACAAGTCACACACTGTGAGGGCTGGTGGCTGCCCAGGAGGAGCGCCAAGAGGAATTTTAGATGGGTTAGACCAGGGAAGAGGAGGGCACAGAGGTGGCACTGGTGTGAGAGGACAGTGGCTAGCTGGGAAGCCCCGAGAGGTGTGTGTTGGTGGCGAGGTCTGTGAAGAGATTTAATCTGTCTGTCTGCCTTCCTCCCTTCCTTCCCTTTCTTTTTTGGTTTTTTAAGACAGGGTTTCTCTGTGTATCCCTGGCTGTTCTAGAACTCTGTAGACCAGGCTGGCCTCAAACTCAGAGATCTACATGTGCTGGGATTAAAGGTGTGCACCACCATGCCCTGATAATCTTTTTTTTTTTTTCTTTAAAGATGTTTTTTCTTTTCTTTTTGGGACAGAGTCTCACTGTGTAGCTCTGGAACTTACTATGTAGACGAGGCTAACCCTAAACTCACCGAGGCTGCCTTCCTCTGCCACCGAGTGTAAGGACAAAAAAAGAAAGGCGAAGTGGGTAGTTTTCGGCAGGCCCCGCCAAGGCATGCCGCTAAGCCAACACGCCACTCGCAACCGAGTCAGTGCAAGAGGCTTATTGGGGGAGGGAGGAGAGGGGAGAGTGAAAGGCCGTGTCGGAGTGGGGACATGCGAGAGGCAGTCAGACAGACAGAGAGACAGACAGGCAGAGAACAGGGAAGAGGAGCGAGGGACAAGAAAGGCAAGAGAGGCAGGAGAGCAGGCTGTGCCTGGGGGGCACTTTTAAGGGGCGCACATGTCGCACAGCTGACGGTAGAAAGGCACCTTAACTCTTTGGCGGCAGAGGCAGGCGGCTGCCGTGGAGGGAACTAACAGCACTGGGATCAAAGGTGTGTACCACTACACCACAAACTACTTTCCTTTATTCTTGGAAAATTTCATCTATGTGAACAATGTAGTTTGATCACATCCAGCCCTCACCCCTCCCTCCAACTCCCCCCAGGTCCATCCCAGCTTCATATTATTATTATTATTATTATTATTATTATTATTATTTTAAATAACCATTGAGTCTCATTAGCACTGCCTCTGCGTATGTGGGGTTATCCGCTGGGGGAGGGGCCACCTATACATGGCCACCCTCCAAAGAAAGGAATCTCTAACCCCAGCACTCTGGAGTCAGAGGCAGGCAGGTCTCTCTGAGTTTGAGCCTCATTTACACAGTGAGTTTCAGGCCAGCCAGGACTGCATAGAAAAACCTTGTCTAGGAAAAAAAAAGGCAAAGTAAAACCAAATAAAATGTTCTGTTTGGGGCCTATATTGGTCATTTGTATTTAAAAAAATTCAACAAACAAACATTGGTTTTATCTGAGTTTACTTATTTATAAACATTTAAAAATCATCGTGGCTATTTTTCCTTTCATTTGTTTGGATTTTCTTCTTTTTTTTCCTTCGGGATTTAAGGGGATTTGAAAGCGCTACGCTGAGGGCAGAGGTGGAAGGTGGAAAACCAGCCATCTACTGGGGTGAGGGTGGGGGTGGGCAGGGGGGAGCATCCTAGTGGGCCAGGAAAGGAACAGGAGGGCTGGGAACTTAAGTAAACAGCAGTCAGGACTGGGAGGTTGACTTAGTGGAGAAAGTGAGCGCCTGCGTTTGGATCCCCAGCACTCACTTGAAAATTGGACTTGATTTGTGTCTGTAACTCCAGAGCTGGGGGTGCAGGAACAAGCAGGATTTGATGCCTCCTTCTTGTCTCTGCAGGCACCATACTTTTGTACACAAACACACATACACATAACTGAAAATGGAAGTAAAACCGGCGAGAGATGGCTCAGTGGTTAAGTCCACTTACTGCTCTTTCAGAGGACCCGGGTTTGATTCCCGGAACCCACATAGTGGCTCACAACCACATGTAACTCTGGTTTCTGGGTGTCTCACACCCTCTTCTGGCTTCTGGGGGCTCCTACATGCATGTGTGAGGTGCACGTAAACTCACACAGGTACACACAAACACACAAATGTACTCACACAGGTACACACAAACACACAAATGTAATAAATAAACCTTAAAATAAAATCTTTAAAAAACCCCTCAAAATCAGCAAAGTAAACCTAGGCTGAGAGAGCAAACCCTCCCATTTTCTGCCTACCACCCCCAACTCTTCTTCCTGGTCACAGGGTCATGAGGACCTTGAGGGAGCAGGACATATAGCTGGCCACCTCTTCTGCCCTGACTCGTATTCCTACAGTGGGACCACATGGGGGGTGGTGGCTGTTCTCCCAGGTCCTGAGATGCCCAGGGCTGGCATGTTTGACAACATGAAGCCCTAGTGGGTGGGAGGGACTGGGGGGGGGGATAAGGGTTGAAGGAAGGAGCAGGGCAGAAGGGGAGGGTGCTGAGGGGTGATTGGCTGATGGGAAGTCAAGGGATGGAGGGTGGAACTTTTGGAGGACCTACTACCCATCCACCTGTGAGGGTCCAGAATTGGGGCTTGTGTTTTCCAGACTGTGTCCCCCTGCATGGCCCCAGCGAGGTGACAGGCACTGTGGGGGAGTCCCTGAGTGTGCGGTGTCAGTATGAGGAGAAATACAAGAGTAATAACAAATACTGGTGCAGAGGGTCACTGCTACTATCATGTAAAGAGATTGTCAGGACCAGAGCCTCAAAAGAAGCTGGGAATGGCCGAGTGTCCATCAGGGACCATCCAGCCAACCTCACCTTCACAGTGACCTTGGAGAACCTCACCCTGGAGGATGCAGGCACCTACAAGTGTGCGGTGGATAGACGGCTTTTTGATGACTCCTTGGGGATTCGTGCTTCCTTGGGGATCGATGACTCCTTCAAGGTTGTGGTATCTGTGGTCCCAGGTAAGCACTCAGGTGAGTCCTCCATGACAGCTGCAAAGTGGCAGGAATTTCTGGGGCTGGAATCAGCTCAGAGCCTGAGAGTACATTGTGTGTGGTGGGGGATGGAGATGAGGGGCAGACAGGGACAGGACAACAGTTATGGAGGCATCCTGGAGGGGAGGAAGGTGCTGGTCCATCGGGGGATGGGAGGAGGAGAGAGCAGAGTGGGGCCAGGACAGAGGTCTGTGTCCGGTGTGGTGACCCATGGAAACTAGAATCCATGGGTGTGTTGGGAGCTGAGCAGAAGGTCATTAGGGGACAGTGCTGTGTGCAGAGGGACCTGTCACTAGTGACAAGCCAGCTTTGCAGTTAGTTCTCTTTGGCAGCATGTGGCTGAGGCTGGAGGAGAGCAGACCTAGAGTGTGGTTTTGACTCAGGTGGGTTGGGGGTGGCAGCTGTGTTGTGTGTGCAAATGATCAGCTGATCCAGAAGGATGCCCCATCCTGATCCTCCCTCTGGTGTGAAATCAGCTCAAAGACAACCCATTGACAGCTAGTCAGGGTGGTGGATGCTTGTGATCCTAGCACTCAGGAGGCAGAGGATCACAAGTTCAGGGCAGCCAGGGCTGTAAACTCCATATGGAGACCCTGTCTCAAAGAATAAAGAAAAAAAGAAAAGGATGAAAGAAGGGAGGGAGGGAAGCAGGGTGAGAAGGATGAAGGAAAGAAGGAAGGAAGGGAGAGAGGGAGGGAGGAAGGAAGGAAGGAAGGAAGGAAGGAAGGAAGGAAGGAAGGAAGGAAGGAAGGAAGGAAGGAAGGAAGCGAGCCATTGGCCAGTGGCAGAGTCTGAGGAGATTCCCTAGGTCTCATCTGTGGCTTTATCTCCAGAACCAGCACCAAGGACACCTACAATGCCCACCAGCCTGACTACCAGCCTGACTACCAGCCTGACCACTGAGTGTTCTACCCAAGGATCCATCATGAAGGGTCACGATGAGGATCCTGAGTCCAAGGGCTTGAGGTGAGGTGCCCTGGTCCCTGACCTGGAGGTGGCCACCCCAGCCATGTGGTTCCCTCAGGAGAAGGGCTACCAGAACCATGAGGGCTTGGGGTAAGAACGCTTGGTTCCTGACTTGAAGGTGGTGGCCCTTCTCCTGGGAGGGGCTTAAGTAGGTACTGTGGCCATGTGCTGCTGTCATACCCCGCTGGCTAGAACCTCCTGTGCCGTGGGCTCCAGTCCGGGTAGGAGGCCATAGGTTACTGACCACACTGGGCCTGCCTGTGCTGAGGACAGGGAGAGCTCAGGCTGAGGAGGACCCAGAGTGTGATGGAAGGAGAAGAGCATGAAAAAGGCTGGTGACATCCCATCGTACATGGCTTAGTGCTTCACAGAATGTTCTCTTTCATACCTCGTGATAATCTTCATGTTACCACATGTTTTAGCTATTTTCCTATGGCTGTGATAATACACCATGACCAAGGCAGCTTATAATAGAAAGCGTTTGTTTGGGGTTAACCGTTTCAGAGTTAGAATCCACGATCATCATGATGGAAACATGGCGGCAGGCAGGCAGGCATGGTGCTGGAGCAGTCGCTGAGAGCTCACGTCTTGAGACACAGCCACAAGGCACTAACTGGGCACTGCAAATAGATCCTGGAACTGACTGGAGTTAGTAGGGATCCTATAGGTTGAGGGCTCTGGCCACCTGCACTGCTAACTTTTAACTATAAATGTGGAGGCTCCCATGATCCTCTTGGGTTCAGAAATTCACTGACGTCATCACTGTTGGAAGTGGTTTTTATCATACTTTTATGATTTTTATCTTTATAAAGATCATGAGGAGACAAATGAAGAGACAGCAAGGCCAGACTGGGAGAGTCCCAACAAGTGTCCCAGTACCCTCTACTTAGGCAGGGTCAGTGTGCATCATCCCCAGGGGCCTCTGTGTGTCTCCACCAAGAGCTCCCCGCATCTGCTTTCCAGGGTTTTTACTGGGGCCTCATGAAGTAGGCACCAAAGGCTGAATCGGTGGCATGTGGATGAACTTGTCTCTAGCCCCTCCCCTCTCTGGAGGCTGGTTAGAGCCCCTGTCATATCCATGACCCCACATTGGTTCCTGGTGAGCAGCCTCATTCTGTAATCTCACCTCTTAGCTATGTACAGGCACATCTAGACTTTATGACACAACATTATCATTTATAAAGTTTACACCCAAGAGCCATGCAGTCAAGTTACAAAAATATCAGGGAAAAAAACAACACCCAACCACCCCACCTCCCCATACTTTAAGTAAATTTATAATTTGGTGTTGGGCTGTATTTATCACTACACAGGGCCAAATGCACAAGGTCCATAGACTGAGGTCTGGACACTTCCACAAGCATCACTCAACATCATTCACAAACAACCAAGGTGCTCCTATTAGCAAAATCCCCAGCATCAGGCATGGGTGTCCAACCTTTGGACATTGTGATATGAAGTCACGGTTTGCAAATGTGTTGACCATATTCAAAGCTATCCTGGGACACATGTGGCCTCTCTCCCAGGACCCAGGGACCAAGGTCTGGCCTCTTCTCACTACCCCACACCTGGAAACCTTCCCACAAGTTTTCTGCCAACCTGGAGGCACGATGTGGCTACCAGACAAGGCAAAATGCAGGACCCGCATGCTGCTTTTGGAGGTTATCCTACAGATGTCCAAGACAGGGGGAGCCCTGCTGTGTGTGTGTGTGTGTGTGTGTGTGTGTGTGTGTGTGTGTGTGTGTGTGTGTGTGTAACAAGGAGATGGAGAGATAGAAGTCATTATGCTGTTGATCTTTATAAAAAAGTTTTTCTTTTTTTCAGCCAATCAGTGGTGGTACACTCAGGAGGCAGAGGCAGGTAGATCTCCGAGTTTGAGGCCAGCCTGGTCTACAAAACAAGTTTCAGGACAGCCAGGGCTACACAGAGAAACCCTGTCTTGAAAATCAAAACAAAAACAAAACTCCAAAAAACAAAACAAAAAACCCCCGTGTGTGTGTGTGTGTGTGTGTGTGTGTGTGTGTGTGTGTGTGTGTATGTGTGTGTGTGTGTGTGTGTATGTATGTATTATGTACATTTGTTTGTATGTATAGATATATATTTCATATATGTATATGAAAAGCCAATACATATATGAAAAACAATCAACATCTTTGTGTGTGTGTGTGTGTGTGTGTGTGTGTGTGTGTGTGTGTGTGTATGTGTGTGTGTGTGTGTGTGTATGTATGTATTATGTACATATATATGTATGTATTTTTGAGACAAGGTCTCACTACCTAGCCTTGGCTAGCCTGTATAGACCAGGCTGTCCTTGAACTCATAAAGATCCACTTACTTCTGCCTCTTGAGCACTGGATTAAAGTTGTGGATCAGTACTCGCAGCTTCATAAAATTTTAAAGGTTATTATGATGTGTGAGTAAGTGTACATGTGTGTACAACTTTCAGGAGTCAGTTCTCTGCTTCTACTGTGGATTCTGGGGCTTGAACTCATGACCTCAGGCTTGCACAGCAAGTGCTTTTATCCACTGAGTCATCTCACCAATCTTTTTTAAAATCTTGACTTTATGTGTCTGTTTTCAAAGTCAGAGAGGGTAGAGTACTTGGCTAGCGTGCATGAGGCCCTGGGTTCGATGCCCAGCACTGAATAATTGACTCCCTCCCCTTAAAGCCTCTGGGTGCTGCTGATCGTGTTAGCTCTTCTGCTGTTTCTGTTGGTGGGGACCTCTCTGCTGGCCTGGAGGATGTTCCGGAAGCATCAGATCAAAGGTGAGTTAGCTTCCTGTGTCCTTCTGTCCCTACTGTCCCTTCTGTCCAGGGTGGTGGACTCTGGCCACAGTCTTTCACCTCAGTGCTCTGTCCCAGTTCTCAAAACAGGCACCACATTAAGCACACACCCTCAGGGCACACACTCAAGATGACCCTAGAGGAAGGGCCCAGAGGTGTTCCTGGGTGTAGTGCTTACACACCCTGGGAGATAGCTCCCCGGAGGCCTTTCTCTGGGGCCCGAGTGGTTGCCCCATGGGGCAGGGCCTTCTTCTGTTTAAAACCTTCAGTGGCTTCCCACACTCTCAAGAGACTCTCTGTAGGGCTGCTAGGCCTCCACAGCGTACCCTGCCTGCATGGTGCCTCCCCCACCCCCACGTTCTTGTGACTTTTGGTTATGGGGCAGGAGCCTCAGCCTCTCTCTCTCTCTCCTGGGTTTACTCTGCATGCTGAAAGTCCTGGCTGTTATGATATATTGCACGTGGGGAACCCCATCAGGCCAGGGTATCCCGTGTGTGCAGGGAAACATGCTGGCATTCTGGGCAGATGCAGCGGCGGGCTGGTGGGCATTCATTCCCGACCCAGATCCTGCATTGGCTCGGAAATGGTTTATTATAATAGAGAGACAAAGAGAGGATAGGAAAGAGGGAGAGAAGAGAGAGGAAGAGGGAGAGAGAGGGGTACACTCCTCGTGGGAGGAAGAGCAGAAGAGAGAGAGGAAGGGGAGGGGCCTTTCCCCAAAATCAGGACTCAGGGCGGTGCGGGGGGGGGGGGGGTCAGAATATTAACACTGGCCTCCCCAGGCTTACTCCCTAGTCTCCAAGCGCTGCCCTCAGATTTTCTTTCCTCGAGGCCCTCCTGGGTATCCCCCTGCACCTCGGCTATCACAGTTCTTTTTGTACTAGATGGTTCTCACCAGCATCCCTGGCCGCCACCTCATGAGGCCTGTGCACTGCTTCCGGCCTGGGCCATGGCTGGAGAAGGTCCCCAGTCACTACTGGGTTTAGGATCTTTAGTCACACAGACAGACAGACACCCAGGAAGCTCCTGGGAGCCTGCAGTCCCACCCTCCCTGAGTTCAGATTGACAGACAGGACCAGCACAGGGTATGTCAACAAGAATGTTCTCAACAAACACAGACCCGTGAGTAAGCACAGGACAGAGGGACAAAAGGACAGGAGGAAAGGGGTCAGGCCTCCTCCAGGGGAGAAGCTGGCTTCCTTCCTGTGCAGAGACTTCATGACCTTACCAGCAGAGGGCCCTCAGGGTCATCTCTGTCATGTTGCTGAAGCCCTTCAGTGAGGATGTGGTAGCAGAAAGGAGGCCACTCTGACCTACAGACCCTCTGTATCTCTCTCTGTCTCTGTCTCGCAAGTCAGAGTGTCTCTGTGTAGCCCTGGCTGTCCTGGAACTCACTCTGTAGCCCAGGCTGGCCTCGAACTCAGAGATCCACCTGCCTCTGCCTCCCAAGTGCTGGGATTAAAGGTGTGTGCCACCACTGCTCAGCTCTCCAGTCCCTCTTGGGGGGCCTCCCGAGCTGTAGCCTTCACATGGTTCCGCTAACCACAGGGGACTTTCCCAGCCTGGACAGCTCCCGTCCTGTGAGTCCCAGCACATGGGGTGCCCTTTCACCCAGAAACACTGTGGCCCACAGATCACTTCCCCTTTAAGAAAGATGTAGGAGACTCGGTGTGTTGGGTCTTGTGATCTCTGCACTTGGGAAGCAGAGGCAACAGGACTGTGGTGAGTTCAAGGCCAGCCAGAGGAAGATGTAGGGAAGACTCTGCCTCAAAAAACAAAACAGAAAAGAGGGGCTGAGGAGAGGATTTGCTGTAGGAAACCTGAGAAATAAGAAAAAGCAACAGAGAAGAAAGAAATTATCTGAGGTATATTGTAAATCAAAATCCCATCTCCCAGAAAACCAGCCACTGCACCAGAGGTGTGTGAGCTCCTTCTAGTCTTTTGTCTATGCAGAAATGATTTAAGTTTTTTTCCAAAGGTGGCGGTGGCACACACCTTTAATCCCAGCACTCAGGAGGCAGAGTCAGGCGGATCTCTGTGAGTTGGAGGCCAGCCTGGTCTACAGAGTGAGTTCCAGGACAGCCAGGGCTACACAGAGAAACCTTGCCTTGAAAACCAAAACAAACAAACAAACAAATCTCATGTTTGAATTATGTGTATATGTGTTGGGGGGGGTTGTATGTGATGTGATGTGTGTGTGTGTGTGTGTGTGTATGTGTGTGTGTGTGTGTGTGTGTGATGTGTATGGAACCTTTGGAGGTCAGAAGTGAGTATGGATCCCTGGAGTTACAGGCAGTTGTCCAAACTCAAGTCCCCTGGAAGAGCAGCCAGTGCTCTTAATCTCCGAGCCATCTCTCCAGCCCCATGTGTGATTTCCTAAAGATCTTGCTTCATTGCCAACAAGGCACATCCCTATACTCTCAGCACTTGGGAGACTGAGGCAGGAGGATTAGGAGAGTTTGAGAGCAACCTGAGCAACATAGCAAGACCCCCTAAAAACAAAACAAAACTTCATACCACTAAAACCTGTAATTTTACACTTAACAATATTATAGCATTTCCACTGCTACTGAATGTTCTAGAACTCCCAGACCTATGGCTGAAGTCTCCAAGGAAAGCCTTTCTTGGAGTACAGCACACCCCTCCTCCCCCACCCACTTTTCCCTGCAGTTTCACCCGCTTTTCTTTCTATCTCTAGCTGATAAACATCCGGAGCTGTCCCAGAACCTCAGGCAGGCAAGGGAACTACTGCAGGAGGTGAGCCAGGGTGGCTGGGTGGGGAGGGGCCATAAGGAGACTGTCAGGGAGTCCTGGACTGGTAGAAGTGACAGATCTATTACAGGTAGATGGAGTTGTCCCAGAACAAGAGACATCACCTGGAGATCTATCGATCAACTTTGTCCCAGGTTCTGTCCAGTCTGTTCCCCTCTGGCCAGGACAGTGGACTTGGAGGAGGGGAGGGCGGGGATGGGGGGGTGGGGGTGGCCGGGGGCGGTATTCTAGAGAGAACAGGGAGAGGGTGGAGGACAAATGGGAAAGGCCAGGGCTGACACAGTGTGGTGGGAGGAAGCTGTCTTCAGAAAAGCAGGGCAGGGGGATGGAAGGGAGGGACTCCATGGATGACACTTGACCTTCTGCAGGCTGCTGAGGAGAGTGAGTCCCAGTATGTGAATCTGCAGCTGCACACATTGCCCCTGAGGGAAGAGCCGGCGCTACCAAGTCAGGTGGAGGTGGAATACAGCACAGTGGTAAGTTGAGAGCCTGGCTCCCTTGCACGAGGATCCTGGGCCGTGCAAGGGTAGCACACAGGGGTGGGGAGGACAGAGAGCCAGCCTGGCCCAGGATGGTTGTATAGAAGACGGGGCAGGTGGAGGCCCTTGGAAAGGTCACGTGTCACTGTAGTTGGAGTAGGAAGCAGAATTATGGGCGTGGCCAGTATCTAAGGTCTTGATGTCAACACATCAGAACCTGTTATTTCTCCTTGTGTTGGTCCCCTCATCTCTTTGGTATCAATTCTTCTTTAGGGGTGTGGTCAAGCCTCGGACTCAGTGACCTTCAAACAGGAGAGTGGGCATGCAGCCTCCTTGGGTGTGACCCAGCATTTTACAGACAGGGTCAAACAGAAGCTGAGAGAGAGAGAAACATCAAAGGCTTTCTGGGGAGACTTTCCCCCAACCCCAGGCTCAGAGCCCACTGAACCCTTCTTGGATGCCCTGAGGGACGCTATAGTTTGGTGGCAGGAGATGGGTGACATACACTGCTCTGAAAAAGTGTCTACTCTGGTCCCATCCAACCCAGGCTGCTGATTCTGCCCTATGAGGGGAATAAGGAACGGTTCTGTTCCACATCCACTCTGCATCACCCAAGCTATGATCCCTCACTTGTGCCAGTGTCTTCTTTCTTATTTTTAAAATGATTCATTTAGTTTTATTTTACACACATTGATGTTTTGCCTGCATGTATGTCTGTATGAGGGTATCAGATACCCTGGAACTGAGTTACAGACAGTTGTGAGCTGCCATGTGGGTGCTGGGAATTGAACCCAGGTCTTCTGGAAGAACTGCCAGTGTTCTCAACCACTGAGCCATCTCTTCAGCCCCATGCCAGTGTCTTTTGAGCATGAGGTGTGTGCAGGGACCCCAATGTCCTCATTTTAAGCAGCTGGAGAGAGATGGCTCAGCAGTTAAGAGCACTGAGTGATGTTCCAGAGGAACCGGGTTCAATTCCCAGGTCATCTTAAATCTAATCATGCCAGGATAAATAAATAAATAAATAAATAAATAAATAAATAAATAAATAAATAAATAAATGGAAGAAGGGACTTCATGACCACTCTCTCCTCTCTTTTAAAGAATTTGCCCCGCTAACTCAGTCAGTAGAGCATGAGACATGGGTCCATGCCCCATGTCGGTCACCAGATATATCGAGAAACCCACAGAGTCTGTTTAAAGGGCAAAGGAATTTATTAGGGGGGAAAACTCACTGCACAGAACAGAATAGTCACAGGTTCTGGAACGCTGTCCAGCTGCCTGAGTCCGTCTGGTATCCAAAGCCATGCAGGAGAGAAGAGAGCCTGCCTATGTGCATCTCAGGTCTTAAGGGTCACTGTGAGGCCACGCCCCAGGGACATGCACTTCAAGGCCATAGGCAGGTAGAGCAGTTACCTGCTGTGTCTCTAGGGGCGGTGCTTCAAGGTCATAGACAGAACAGCCGTCCACGACAGTCTCTAGTTCCTCAGATGGTGTCATGTGTCTGAAAACTGTATTCCTTCACTATGTGACATGTTCTCATGTCTTCCCAGCTATGGGGACTGGCAACCATCACCTGGTAGCTAATGATTGCAAAATGGGTTGGAAGACAAGTCAGTGTCCAAGACAGTAACTTGGCTTTAGAACTGTTGTGCCATTGTGGCTACCTCTGCTGGCCATGATATACCCAGCATAGGGACTTCCCACTGTGGCTTGACAAGGTGGGCCGGTGTGTCTAGTTCTGGGCAGTTGAGGGGTGTGTGTTCCCTTCCCCTCTTGGCCTGAATCTGGGGTCTCTCTCTGCAGACGTTCCCCCAGAAAGAGCTTCACTATACATCCGTGGTATTCGACTCACAGAGCCAGGATTCTTCTGCCAATGGGACTTCCCCTTGGTCGTCTCAAAACCAAGAAGCAGAGTATAGCGAGGTCCGAAAGCCCAGGGAAGGCCTCGCTCACTCTCACCTGTGACTCCTTGGTCACCTGATCCCCTCAGTGGTGACCACCAGGTTCCCGAGCTCCCTGCAGGCTGCTGCCATCAATGTCATGA